CCCAACCCAGTTGCAGGACCTTGCACTTGGCCTTATTCTTGATGAGCTTCACAGTGGCCCACCTCTCGAGCATGTCAAGATCCCTCTGTATCCCGTCTCTTCCCTCCAGCGTATCAACCAAACCACGCAGCTTGGTGTCATCGGCAAACTTGCTGAAGATGCCTCAATCCCATTGTCCATGCCACCAGCAAAGATGTTGAACAGCGCAGGTCCCAAAACAACCCATGAGGGACACCAGTCATCACGGGTCTCCACTTCGACATGTAACTGTTGACTGCAATCATCCAGCTAATTCCTTATCCACCGAGTGGTCCATCCATCAAATGCATGTCTCTCCAGTAGAGACAAGGATGTTGTGTGGGTCAGTGTCCTCATTTTCTTTTTATCACTTACTTATCTGTAGAAGCTTTTCTTGTTACCCTTGCCCTCTCTGACCAGATTTAGTTCTATCATGGCTTTAGCTTTCTTCATCTGATCCCTGGCTGCTCAGACAATTTCCCTGTATTCTCACAGACTACCTGCCCCTGCTTTCACCCTCTGTAGGCTTCCTTTTTGCATTTGAGCTTGTCCATTAGCTCCTTATTCATCCATGCAGGACTCCTGGAATTTCTGCCTTAGTTCCTCTTTGTTAGGATGCACCGCTCCTGAGTTTGGAGGAAATGATTATTGAATTCTAATGAGACTTCTTGGATCCTTCATCCCTCCAGGGCTTTATCTCATGATGCCCTATCAAGCAGATTCCTGAAGAGGCCAAAGTCAGCTCTTCTGAAGTCCAGGGCAGTGAGCTTGCTGTGTGTCTTTCTCACTGCCCTAAATATCTTGAACTTCACCATTTCATGGTCATTGCAGCTAAGGCTGCCCTTGAGCTTCACCTTTCCCTCCTTGTTGGTGAGAACAAGGCCCAGCATAGCACCTCTCCTCATCAGCTCCTCTATTCCTGGGAGAAGGAAGTTACCATTAATGCCTCCCAGGAACCTCCTGGGTTGCTTATGCCCTGCTGTGTTGTCTGACTCTCCAAAATCTGTTGGAGGAAATCCCCCATGAGGACAAGGGACTGCTGAACATGAGGCTGCTCCTATCTGTCTATAAGGGGCCTTATCGACTTTGTCTTTCTCATTGGGCTGTTTGTAGCAGACCCTGATTATAACGTCACCTGTCCCTGACCTCCCATTAATCCTGATCCATATGCTCTTTGTCAGCTCCTCATCCATTCCCAGGAGGAGCTCCACACACTCCAGCTGGTCGTTGACAAAAAAGGGTGACACCCACCCCTCATATCCCATCCCTGTCCTTCCTGAAGAGCCTGTATTCTTTTGTTCCATATTCTTCCATATATGCTGGCAGGGTTCCCAAAATATTAAATAAACTCAAAAGAAAAATTAAAATACTTCTCTATGTGCAAATATTTCTTGGGACAGTTGCCTAAAGTCCCTAGAGTTCACTGCAGCTTCACCTCTCCATAAAAAATATTAACTAACAACTTCACTATGATCCATTCCAAATCAATCATTTAGCTAGCTAGGCAATATCCAAGTAACCTCTGACTTGTATTAGAGGTTTTACTTGCTGTCAGTAAATAATAGTTTTAGCTGCAATTAAAAAGCAATGAGTATGCTAGTGTACAGTAACATAAAATGCACATAAAATGTTACAGAGAAGGAAGGCAGTTTCTGGTAGCCAAAACGAGGAACAGAGTAAAACTACATCAAGGAATTTCAAAATTATATGTTAGTGAGTGTGTTCTCAGAATATGAACATGAACAGAACATGTTTCCTGGAGTCTCCAGAAGCAGGTTGCAAGAGCGTATGGTACAAACATTGCTAGGAAGGACATGCATCCTGCTTGGGGTCATAAGCCAAGGTCTCTCCTCTTCTGCCAGCACTGCTTTCTCTGGCAGGAGAGGATCTCTACAAAGACTGCCCAGCAGACCTATCACTACCCAATCTTGTTTGCCAGGTTAACCACTGTATTACGAATTCTGTTCTTAATGAGGTCCTCTCCTGTTATTTTTAATACATATTTACACTTTTCTAGACTGTTTTCACGGCGTAGGGAATGGTCTGTAAAATCATAGAATCATAGAATAGTTAGGGTTGGAAAGGACCTTAAGATCATTTAGTTCCAAACCCCCTGCCATGGACAGGGACACCCCACGCTAACCCATGTCACCCAAGGTTCTGTCCAACCTGGCCTTGAACACCACCAGGGATGGAGCATTCACAACCTCCCTGGGCAACCCATTCCAGCGCCTCACCACCCTAACAGGAAAGAATTTCCTCCTTATATCCAATCTAAACTTCCCCTGTTTAAATTTGAACCTGTTACCCCTTGTCCTATCACTACAGTCCCTAATGAAGAGTCCCTCCCCAGCATCCTTATAGGCCCCCTTCAGATACTGGAAGGCTGCTATGAGGTCTCCATGCAGCCTTCTCTTCTCCACGCTAAACAGCCCCAACTTTCTCAGCCTGTCTTCACACAGGAGGTGCTCCAGCCCCCTGATCATCCTCATGGCCCTCCTCTGGACTTGTTCCAACAGTTCCATGTCCTTTTTATGTTGAGGACACCAGAACTGTACACAATAAAATAGACATGACCAGCTGTATTCTTTCAACTAGTTTGCTTTGGTATAGTCCTTGTCTACCTTCTCAGCATGCTCTGATTTACCTTGCTACTCTGGTGGGTTAAGTTGGTTCAGAACAGATATGTAGGAAGAATCTGTATTTTATTCCTGTTTGAAAACTGACTGAGAACCATCACGGTTCCCACATGGCTTTACATGTAGTGCTAGTGAGGCTGGATTCTTTGAAATGTTTTCTGAAAAGTCTTGAAGAGTTGGAACTGGCTTGTTCAGCAAAACAGCAAGTAGAAGGCATAAAAAAAGCATATAATTTCTTCAGGGCTCCCTAGTGCCAGTGTTTTGGAAGCATATGCTGCATCAGTCTCTCTTTCCAATAAAAATGGTGAGAGTCCAAAACTCCAGTCTTTTGTTTTTTAAAAGTATAACCTTGTTAAACAATTTTAGCTAATAAAAAGTTTAGTATTTTCTTTGTTTTTTGTTTTCCCAGACATGTGGGATCTTAAGGCCTTGATTTCACACTCAGTTTCCCACCAGTGGTTTTTTGCATCCACCCCAGGAATAGAAGTAATGAATAGAAATAGAAAAATTTACAGGAATGGGGTCTTGCAAAGAACTGTCAATTCTAATGAGCAATTTGTGATGGGCTCTAGATAGCACACAAATAACATATACAGTGTAGCTAGACTATCAAACATGAAATACAGGACAATGATAAATCAGGATATTAAAATTATGCTTCCTGCTATAAATTAATCTATGCTGCAGATAGAGACTTGGTGATGTTTTTGGAGTTGGTCCATGTATGTAAGGTTTCACACAAAGAATGAAAGAAGGAACACGCAGCTGGGGACAGAAGGATGAAGAATAAAGCGATAGTTTCAGCCACAGCATTAGGGTGCTCTGGATTTCATGAATCAGGGCATGGTCTAGAACATGTCAGAACATGCCCTGAACTAGTCAGGGCAGCATCTAGAACATCACAAAGTCCTTTCTCTAGGCTTAGCCCACTGACACCCTCATTCACAGATACACTTCATGATTAGAAAAAGTCAAGTTAGTAGGAGCCCCTTACTGTGTCTAGATGGGGGTAGTGGTTTTCATTATCAGCTTTTACCTGTCTTGGATATCATGGCATTCAGGATGTTTTTTCTATTGCTTTGTTACAGCAGCCCAGAAAATTCAGAGACACTGAACAGTGTCAGGCAGGGTGAGATGAAGTGTTAAAGGTTTATAGTCTTTAAGCGTTTAGGAGTTGAGTTTATCTAGGAAAGGGTTGGTGCAATTTTTTAATGGGAGGATTTGTCCCCTCCCTTTTATATCTCAAAGGAAAAGTGATAAATCTCCTTTAGGTTTCCTTTGGCTGAAATGCTGACACGGAACATTTCATCACATTTTAAGTAATGAACATGTGAAAAAAAGAAAGAGTTAAGGCAGTTCCAAGTTTGAATCCCCAAAAATATAGTTTTAATCACTGAGCAAAACATATTAAGTAAGATAGTGCAATTGGTCATCCTGGCCATAGAGTGATATCCATAATATAACTACCTCTGCCAGAATCCTTTCTCAAATTGTTACTGTGACAAAAAAAAAAAATAGAGTTTTGCCTTTAAAGCTCCTCCTGTACCATGTTCCCTTAGAGTCATATCATAGCCCATTTTTACAACAGAAATCCCTAGAGAAAGCAAAAGGAAATTTCAAAAGCTCTTTATTTCAACAGAGTTGGCTCATCATAAACAATTGTTTCAAGTACAATTATTTGAGTTATCTGAAGACCAGAACCTTAGTAAACAGGAAAAACTGATATAACAAAGCTTATATTAAAGTATCTTGTTTGCAGAGTTATGGCCTATTACTAAACCTGGCATATCTTGTAACTGCTGGATGATTACCCCAGACAAATCTGTCACTAACCTGATTTTTTCTGTGCTGGCTTTTTCATTTGTTTATGCCAAAGCCCTGTATCTGAATCTAACTAAGCATGCAGGAATGCCTGTCAAGGAACAGATTAATCCTTTTTAACTCCTGCTTAAGACATTGTCCTAACCTGTTAAGACTGTGAAGGTAAATAAAATTGCCCAAACCAGTATCAGATTCACCACAGGGTTCATCAGGCCTGGCTGGTGACCGAAATTGGCTGTCAGCAAAATAATCACTCATTTGTCCAACAGTTAATAATGCTGGAGTTTTCAGTTCATATTCTCACATTATGTATCATTCCAATTACAATGATGCATATTGCTGTGTTGACAGGCCTTGGTAGATGAGCAGTGCAGTCAGATCAGGAGTCTCTGGAGAGCAGAAGCAGGACCAACAACTTGGACTTCCACACATCCTGTTCCCCTCAGGAAGTGGGGAGAAGGACATCAGTGCTATCTCCTCAGATTTCTTTCTGAGCTACAGATCATTCTCAGTTATCTACTTCAGTGGTCACCCAGCTGAAGAAAAATCACTCTACCTACTTTTTCTATGAGCAACCAAAAGGTGAGCAATTGAAGACCTTCTTTTCTAATCTGCTTTGCCAAATCTACACTCCATGTGATTGTTGTGGTCAGTGCTGTTGCTGAAGATGGTCACCCAGTCCCAAAGACAAATTCAATATGGGATTTTTTTTTCTTTAGAAGGATGCTTTTATTTCCTGACTGCTAGGAGTGGCAAGCTCTACCAATATTGGGTTATTCGTACGAGGTTTTGAGGAATTTAAAGTTAATATATAAAGATGTAGGAAAATCTTTTGCATCTGGTCTCCTGTCTAATATATTTTGTGACTTTTCTGTATGTGTCTACAAGAACTGTATATTAACAGAATTATGGGAAAAGAATGTATTTTAATATCACAATTCCATAACATTGTTTTTAAAAATCAAGTTTTTGAAAAATACAGTCATGTTTATAAGTATCTTACTGATTTATGTTATATAGTGTTCTATTTATTTTACAGAAGCATATCATAAATTCTAAAATTTTAAGTCTGAAAATCATAAGCAATATAAAATTGTTCATTTGGAAATTATCTATTTAGAAGGTGAACAAATGTGTGTTATTTCACAGGTGGGTATTTACAGGACATCCTTCCAACACCACTAGGAATTTCTGCTTACAGTATCATTGTTCCTGGAAAAGTTGGTTCTAGGTAGAAGCTCATGTTTTATCTTTTGCTATATTTATTCAGTGTCTCTAAAAAACATATGTTAAAATGTGGTTTATTTAATATGTTAAAATAACATCTGTTAAAAATACACATATATTGAAATAAGAGATAATTTTAGTCATTGTAATTAAAAGAGGTTTTCCACATTTTCTAATTAAAAAATCTGTTAAAAATACACGTATATTGAAATAAGAGATAATTATAGTCATTGTAATTAAAAGGGGTTTTCCACATTTTCTAATTAAAAAATCTGTCTAATGTTTATGAAAATATTGAAAATATTCTGTGATTTGTTTTTCAGCAGACTATTGTTTGGCAACTAAAGAGTGAATGGTAACTCAGTACCTAGGTAAATATCATGCTAACATTTTAAACAATTGTAATTGTATTTATTACAATACATATTTTAATTACTGATATGATTTTAATTATGAAACTGCAGCTATTAAACCATTTATGTAGCCTTTAAATCTTTCAGAGACATAGTTCCAGCAGTCAGGATTTCACAATCACTTTGTTAACTATCTAATAATTTCTTGCACAACTAGACAATGCTGATATAGGTCATAGCACTATTGCTTTTGAGCACTGTACCATGGTAGCTGCAAAATTATAATTAACTCTCCTGTACGGACACCCAGGGTGAATATTCAGAGCAGATTATTCTAGATCCTTTTGCAGTGGATCTAGACCTCTAGTTCAGATATTGCTCCTTGGAAATTGTTGGAATAAATTAAGACTATTTGTATTATGATATTTAGGGCTGATGAGCTCAACAACACAAATATTCATCAGCTGCAGACAGTTGCCTCTGGAATTTAGTGGCAAAGAAAGAGATGTTCCAGGAGAGGAAAACACTTCAGCCTGTATCAGAATTAAAACCTTCAACTGATGTAAGTAAAATAGTCCTTGTTTCCCAAGCTGTGGCCCAAAGTGACGGGTTTGAGCTGCTTCCAAAAGTAACTTGGGTTTAAAATTTCTAATTGAAGAAGGATGTTTCTGTTTATTAGGGATGTTTTGGAATTTTCTGTCAGTTTTTTTTTTCCCCTAAACAGAAATTTATATTTTCATGTTGAAAAATCACTGAAGATGAAAACGGTCAATTCTGACCAATTTTGACCAAATTGTTTTGTAGAGGATTTGGAAACTGCAAGGAGACCAAGACTTCCAGCACCATGAATGTGGGGAGCCTTGGAGGCTGCCAGCCTTAGAGGAAGGCAAGGCGCTCAGGATTCCTCATTCTGCCCTTTTACAGCAGATCTTCCTGGCCTTGCCTACTGCCTCTGAGCTAACATTTTCAGGCTTCCTGATTCTGCTGTAGGGCAATAACACAGCAAATACAGACCAGTACTTATGTTCAATTTTGTAACAAAAAAAAAGAAAAAAAAAAAGGAGTTTCAGAGATAAGAAAAATTCAAAAGCTTTTTTATGGCCTGGGACAAAAATTTTAGTTTTTCTCAATCCAGCTTTAATTTTTATAAGCACTAAAAGGAATAATCCTGTTTTATTTCAATAAAAATGTTGAGTAACACTTGAATTTCATTCCTACTGCAATCATTGTCACAAGCCTGACTATACTCATAGAATTTATTTCATTTTGAGCTATGTTTGCTGGGCAAAAAATATAAGTTTATGCTCTGCTGGCAGTGAGAGAACAGGACAAAGAGCTATTTTTGTTAAAATGAAACTAAACGCCAAGCCTGTGTACTACAAATGTGTGTGGGAAACTTGCTCTCAGGAAATTTTAGGCATGATTCATAAAACACAACTGAAACCTTTATTGTATGAACACAAGGAACCTGGGAGTAAAAGGAATGAAGAACTGCTAATCCAGGATATGAAACCAGAGATGGCAGAAGTAACAAACAGCTAGTGTAACTAAAGCATAGGTGTAGGATTTAGAGGGACAGACAAACATAAGAATGAAGGTGCCAAACTGAACACTAGTGATGACAGACACTGTGAAAATATAAATAAAAGAAAATCTAATTGAGTAAAAAAAGTCAGTCTGTGATGAAGAATGATGGTGATATTTTTTTTTTTAGATTAATGTTGCAAATCTCTATGAATAGATTAGATTTGATTTGGATATAAACAAAGATCTTGGTAATTTTGGTTAAGACAAATACTACTGCAAATTTGTCATTGTGGTAAATTATAACACTGGATAAACAATCTATAAATAACAGGGCTAGTTAGCCCTTGATAGAGTAGCTCTCACATGGCAACTGAACCCATAAGAGGTGAGGATCTGCTAGATTTTGGTTGGGCAAATAGTTAAAAGCTATCATAAAAGAGTTGGCATGAAAAAGAAGTGCAGTGCAGACATTCAGTTTCAGATGGATGAACTAAGAAACTCTGGGAGCTAGTTAATCATAGAATAGTTTGGGTTGGAAGGTACCTTAATGATCACCCAGTTTTAACTACCCCTGCTGTGGGCAGGGACACCTTCCGCTAGACCAGGTTGTTCAAAGCCTCATCCAGCCTGGACTTGAGCACTGCCAGGTATGGGGCAGCCACAATTTCTCTGGGCAACCTCTGCCAGCACCTGACCACCCTCACAGGGAAGAGTTTTCTCCTAATACCTAATCAAAATCTACACTCTTTCAATTTAAAGCCTTTCCCCCATGTCCTATCACTATAGGCCCTCGTAAAAAGTCCCTCTCCAGGTTTCTTTTCGGCCCTTTTAGGCACTGGAAGCTGCTCTGAGGTCCCCCTGGAGCCTTCTCTTTTCCAGGTTGAATAAACCCAGCTCTCTCAGCCTGTTTCCATAGGAGAGGTGCTCCACTTCATGTCAAATATACTAATAAAGTTAAGAACTATATAGGAGACCTGAAATGTTTTTAGAACAAAAATGCAAATATTAATCACGGTTTGCATTGCAAATTGTTGGAGCAATAAAATTAAAGGAAGAGGTGTTCATATGTAATCCAATGAACAAAGATATAAAAAAAAGGATATTTCCTTTATGGGGAAAAAGATTGACTAAAATATACTGAAAATTAAAAAATTATAGGGATAAGGCAAGAAATATCAAAAGCCTATTAGCTTCTTAATAGAAGACTAATACAAATCATAAGAAGTTCACTAGCCACATAACTGAACAGGAAATAAAAACAGAGGGATAGATGTGCTATGACAAAAGAAAAATAAATCTACATAACAGCTCCCAAACTAAAGAGGCATTTTCACTCAGGTTCCAGAAAAAGTTTTGATGCTGAATACCGGAAAAAATGCAAAATAACAATGGGGGAAATGAGAATGAAAAGGATCACAACAAAGGTAGACTGAAAAATTCATTGAGTTTAGTATCTCTCTTAATGGGAACAGAGTAATCCACCTTGCAGAATTCTAAAATTGAGACAAACCAAACATTTTGATTAAAAAAATTTGCTGAGGCAGCATGTATACCCAGTTAGAATCATAGAATCATAGAATAATTAGGTTTGGAAAGGACCTTACCATCACGTAGTTCCAAACCCCCTGCCATGGGCAGGGACACCTCACACTAAACCGTATCACTCAAGGCCTCATCCAACCTGGTCTTGAACACAGCCAGGGATGGAGCATTCACAGCCTCCCTGGGCAACCCATTCCAGTGCCTCACCACCCTAACAGGAAAGAATTTCCTCCTTACATCCAGTCTAAACTTCCCCTGTTTAAGTTTTAACCCATTACCCCATGTCCTATCACTAAAGTCCCTAATGAAGAGTCCCTCCCCAGCATCCCTATAGGCCCCCTTCAGATACTGGAAGGCTGCTATGAGGTCTCTATGCAGCCTTCTCTTCTCCAGGCTGAACAGCCCCAGCTTTCTCAGCCTGTCTTCATACGGGAGGTGCTCCAGTCCTCATGGCCCTTCTCTGGACTTGTTCCAACAGTTCCATGTCCACCTATCAAATTGATGTCTCTCCAATTTAAAGACAAGGATGTCGTGTGGGACAGTGTCGAATGCTTTACACAAGTCCAGGTAGATGACATCAACTGATCTACCCCTTTCCATCAGTTCTGTAGCCCCATCATAGAAGGCCACCAAATTGGTCAGGCAGGATTTCTCCTTAGTGAAGCCATGCTGGCTGTCACCAAGCACCTTGTTGTTTTTCATGTGCCTCAGCATTCCTTCTAGGAGAATCTGCTCCAAGATTTTGCCAGGCACAGAGATGACACTGACTGGTCTGTAATTCCCTGGGTCATCCATTTTCCCCTTCATGAAAATGGGGGTTATATTTCCCTTTTTCCCATCATCAGGAACTTCACCTGACTACCATGATTTTTCAAATATAATGGACAATAGCAACTTCATTGGCCAGCTCCTTCAGGACCCGCAGATGGATCTCATCAGGTCCTATGGTTTTTAAGATGGTCCTGAACCAGATCCTCTCCTACAGTGGGCCTAGGGTCTTCATTCTCACAGTCCCTACTGTATGCTTTCCAAGACTTGAGTGGTGTGATCAGAGCATTTGCCAGTGAAGACTGAGGCAAAGAAGTCATTCAGAACCTCAGCTTTCTCCAAATCCTGTGTAGCTAGCTCTCACGAGAGCTTCCTGAGGGGACCCACATTGTCCATGGTCTGGTTTTTATTTGCTATGTACCTGTAGAATCCCTTCCCGTTATCTTTAATACCCCTAGCCAAGTTTAATTCTAACTGGGCTTTAGATTTCCTAACCTGGCTCCTAGCTCCCCAAACAGCACCCCTGTATTCTTCCCAGGCTGCCTGTCCTTGCTTCCACATTTTATAAGCCTCTTTTTTCATTTGAAGTTTCCTCAGCAGCTCCTTATCCATCCAAGGAGGTCTCCTGGCCCTCCTGCTGCACTTCCTTCTAGTTGGGATGCAACACTCCTGAGCTTGTAGCAGGTGATCCTTGAATATCAACCAACAGTCCTGGGCCCCCCTGCCCTCTAGGGCTATACCCCATGGAACCTTACTAAGCCGGTTCCTAAAGAGGCCAAAGTCTGCTCATTTGAAGTCCAGGGCATTGAGCTTGCTGCACGCTCTTCTCACTGTCCTGAGGATCTCAAATTCGACCATCTTCTGATTGCTGCATCCAAGGCTGCCCTGGAGCATCACATTTCCAACAAGCCCTTCCTTGTTGGTGAGCACAAGGTCAAGCATGGCACCTCTCCTTGTCAGCTCCTCTATCATTTGCAGAATGAAGTTGTCTTCCACGCAATCGAGGAACCTCCTGGATTGCTTGTGCTGGGCCGTACAAGCAATGTCAGGGTGGTTGAAGTCACCCATGAGAACAAGGGCCTGCGAGCGTGAGGTTTTTCCTATCTGTCTATAGAGTGCTTCATCCACAGGTTCTCCTTGATCAGGCGGACTGTAACAGATCCCCACAGTAATGTCTCCCATTGCTATTTTCCCTTTAACCCTGACCCACAAACTCTCTGTTAACTGCTCACCTGTCCCCAGACAAGGTTCCATACTCTCCAGCCAATCCTTAAGATAAGGGCAACCCCCCCTCCCCGCTTGCCAGGCCTGCCTTTTCTAAAGAGCCTGTAACCTTCCATTCCAACACTCCAGTCATAGGAGCCATCCCACCATGTTTCTGTGATGTCTATTACACCATACCCCGGTAGACATGCACACATCTCTAATTCCTCTTGTTTGTTCCCCATGCTACGGGCATTTGTATAGAGGCATCTGAGCTGAGCTCCAAATGAAGCCGGCTCATTGCCTGGAGAGGCTGGGATATCTCTACTTTGCTCTGAGCATTTATTATAGGTGTTGGCCACTGACTGGGTGTGTTGGGATGGAATGATGCCCCCCTCCCCCAGCACATCTAGTTTAAAGCCTCCTTGACCAGTCTGGCAAGCCTCCTACCAAAACCGCTCTTTCCCTTCTTTACCAGACCAGCTCCACCAGCTCCCACTAGACCTGGCCTACAAACTTGGCTCCCGTGTTCAAGACACCCAAACCCCTGACTATGACACCACCCTTTTAACCATATATTAACCAGGCCAATCCTCCTAGCTTTTTTTAGGTCCTCCCCTGTATCCTGGAGAATTGACAAAAAGACCACCTGAGCTCCAGAGCCCCTAACCACCTCCCCTAGGGCTCTGTAGTCCTTCTTTATGTTCCCCAGGCTACTACTATCTATATCCCTAGCACCCACATGGATCACCAGGAGTGGGTAATAGTCCGTGAGACTTACTAGAGCAGGCAGCTCTCTGTCACATCTCTGATCCATGCCCCTGGTAGGCAACACACCTCCCTTGAGACGGGGTCTGGCCGGCAGACAAGTGCTTCTGTCCCTTTCAGTGTAGAGTCCCCTACTACTATGACCCGCTGCTTTTTCCTGGCAGCACCAGCAGAGATCTTCTTTACCAGAGCATCAGCCGGCTGTTTCTGACTCGAGTGCGTTTCCTCATTAGCCCCCTGCAGGACAGCAAAGCGGTTCTGCCTGGGGACAACAGATTTAGGGGGAAGCCCTTTGCTTTTGGTTGTCCTTTTCCTCCTTTTTTTGGTGGTGTTTTTTTTTTTTTTTTTGTCAATAATTCCCAGCTTCCCAGGTTAATGACCTCCTTCTTTCCTCCATGAGCTAGAGGGGAAGCTCGAGGCCCCTGCACAGTTTGGGCCAGGAGCAAGCATTCCTGCTTCCTCTCAGCTTCCCTGACATCTCGCAGACTACTGACAGCGTCCCGCAGCTCAGCCCCTGCTGCAGGAGGACCTCCACCAGGGAGCACCGGGTGCAGCCCTGCCCATTGTGCCCCCTCCCCTCACCAGACCAGTGCAGGCACTCTCTACACCCCGAGCTCTGCACTGCAGCCTCCCCTCTCATCGGCTCTGTCTGGGTGCCTACGCCGGCCACCGCCGGGGCAGCCAGAGCAGAGCTCCCAGATCGGGCTCTGGTCATACGACGAGTGCTCGCTATTCCGCCCGAACTGCCCGCACAAACTGCCTCGACCCGCTCTGTTCGCCGCACTCCTGCGCTCCCTGGCGCAGGTTTTTTCCCACTCAGGGCCGGTGCCGCTGCTCCTGCTTCCGCCCCCTGTGAGTCCCTGCTCGCCTCAGCTGAGCTGCCGGCTTCTGGGCAGGTCTCGTCGAGGACTTGAGGCTCCCTCGGTGGCTCTTACCGCTCTGAGTTGAGGCTCCTGGACGCTGATCTCCTCCCCTCTCCGGTGTTGAAGGCGTCCTCTCTCGAGCTACTCACCTCAGCAAATTCAGTTCTCCAGACATTAAGGCTTTTTCCAAAATACACAATACTTTGACTTATCTCCCTGCTTTGTATGAGCAAATTTGAAGTAATTATGTGAGTTGGTTAGAAGGGGTTCCCTGATTACTAAATTATGAGGTGTCTTGGGTTGTTATAAAAGATAATGACAATCCCAAATTTCATCCTCCAGCATCAGTAAGTGGCTGTGGAATTAATTCAGTTTTGGGACACTTAGTAGAATTTGTTGAGTGACAAATATTTTGAACAGTAGGTGGTGGCAAGTGTTAAAAAAACATAATCCTGAATGCTTTCCACTCTTACTTGACAATGTCTATATAGTTATGACCGTATTTTCACATTTATGTTGTACTTATAAAGTTGGTTTTAATATTGAAAATCTCTACGAGTCCTTTAGATTAGATGAGATGTACTTCTCAGGCAACCTGTTCCAGAGTCTCACCACCCTCAGAGTGAAGAACTCCTTCTTAAATATCTAATCTGAACCTATCTTTTCCCATCTTAAAGACAATACACCTTGTCCTTGTGATGGAACAACAGCTTTTTTGTAGGCCCCTTTAGGTAGTGGAAGGACTCTATAAGGTCTTGAATTATCGAATATCCAGGCAAATTCATGACACTGGAAACAAAGTTGCCATAGTTATTAGTTTCCAGTATTGTATTTGTAATTTAATTGGAAAAGCTGTTCAGTGTTACCCATCTCTGGAACACTGACTGGCAATTAAAACAGAAAATTTTATAGGTCTGTAATTTTTTGTAAAATGAGTGAAATCAGGACTGACATAATGAAATCCTTGTTGGAATTTTAATTTAAATAAAAAGTTTATTTTTGCCAGATTTAAAAGAACATCTGGCTCCTCCAGTAGTTCAAGGAACACTCTTTGTATAAAATAAAATGCTTTGCTACCTCAAGTTAAAACAAATTGATTTGTTTAGTTTTATACTTTCTAATATTTCAGTTTGTGTTATGTCTGGAACCTAGCAAGATGAATCAATAGTATCAAATCTTTGCTCTGTTGGAACCTAGAGAGAACATACTGTACCAGATGTTATTATGAACCAGCTGCAGAAGCAGAGCAAATGCCTGGTTTGTCAAAATTCACTGAAGCAGAAGCTTTCAGCAGCTTATTCAATCTAGCAAGACTTACCAAGACATGCTTCCACAAGAGCTACTTGTGAGTAGCACAAGTTGTTCATTCTAGTATTCTTCATTCAAGTTCATATTAAATACATCTGATGATTTAATTTGAAGAAACGTTGCTACTGCCAGGTGAGATGGCTTCACAAATATGTCAGTGGCTATCATACACATATATGCACTTTTAGCTTCTAAACTTATTGTCAGCCTGTTTGTCAATCAGAGCAAAATGGTTTTAATCCTCTTTTTTTTTTTTCCAGTTGGACTACAGTCTCCTGACCTACGTAAGAGTTTCTGCTTTGTGTCAAAGAATAAGTCAAGTTCTAAACTGTCTTCTCATATGTGAAATCCAGTATTTAGACTATGATAAAGCAGGTGTCAAGGAGAGTAGAAAAAAAAATCTGCTGCAATGAATCTGTAAAAAAAATATCGCTTCCACCAAATATCTCTTCAGCAGATGCTGACAAATCCCTATCTCTTGTCTCCCACTTGAATGCTGCAGTGACAGAAAATCTGTTAGGAAGACAATTCAGAAGAGAGATTAGATTTCTTGCTGCTTCTAAAGGTATTTTAAATGGGAACTGGAAAACCTGAGCTGTAAAAAGAACTAGCTACTGCTTAGAGACTGTTTGTTCTGTTCTGCTTATTATTCGTGATGGCAGCAGACAAATTCCTCTCTACATTAACTCTGATGATGAGTTCTCTTATGATTATGAAATCCAAGGACTGTTTTCACCACACAATTGTCAGACTTAATTTAGTGTAGCTCTTACTCTAAAAAAAAAAAAAAAGAAAAGAAAAAAAAAGGCTCTCCTCTTCAGCTAGCTGGACACCGGTGTTTCAAATACTCTTAAACCCCTGTAAATCATCATCTGCCATTTTCTGTTGTTGTTGGGAGCATCATGAGCTCATAAATCAGTGGACTTTTCACATTTTTATGATAATCTCTAGAAGATCTTTGTAACTAAAGCTGACTCCCACAAGTGTTTACCAAACTTAAATGTCTAATGGGGTAGTCTGCCCTCACACATTTGGGTGACACAGCCAACCACATCAAACGTACATTAGGGAAATCTCTGATGTATTTGCTCTTAGTAGGACTTTAGTGTCTGTTACCTCCTGCCACCAGAGAATTTCCATGTTCTTTGAGGCAACTTAAAGAGAAGTGAGAGTTTCTTAATGTGCCTGCATGACAACACACTGGAGATGTTACAAAATCGTCTTGCAGGACTTAAGTTTTGTTCTCGGTTTGATGCCTTCTCTTTTCACAGTCTCATCCAGAGTCTTCTAAAACTCTTACAGCCTTTGATAATCTGTGGTTTATTTCATCATGTGGGTGTGCATCCTATAAATGGTGCTTCTTAGTGAATGACTTCATTTGAAGCAAACAGCGATCACTTAATGGTGATGTTAACTGGCATTAAGAGGAGCTTGTTGATAAATGATTTTTATCATTAACTGAAGACTAGAAACAAAGTTAACAGAAGTCCTGTGGATCTTACAGCTACTGATAACACACTTTTTTTGAACAGAGTACTAGGATCACCTGGATTACTGTTATATGGAACCAATGGTCCAGAAAATGAGGAATCTAACACAGAGTTCATGAACAAACATTAGTAAAACAAGAAAGGTCTTCAGAGAGCAGAGGATTTCATTAAAGATCTGGGCTGAAAATCCTTGATGGAAATGGAGACTAGGTGAAGACAACGTGCAATTATTTCCCCATTTTGGGGAAGAGAGTGGATAAATGAAAGACAATTCATAATATAGGAAGAAAGGTAAGGTAAAGGAAAATGGTTAAATCAAAATGAAAAAATGCTCTCCTTAAATATTTATGACTTAGACTGATGAGACTCTTATTCCTGATAGACAGTTTGCAGACTAATGGGATTTTAATTGTCCTTGATGCAATTAGGGGTGATGTCTTTTGCTAAATCCTGAGTTTCAGCCATAGTTTATGTAAGTTGTTCACATTACTCAACTTACAATGATGTACTTGGCTTCATTGTTTGTGGTCTGGTTCTCATTTGTCTGGCATTACACTGTAAGACTGCAGTGACTCAGATTTCCTTTAGTTTTACAACAAAAAGCACTACCATGTATCGCATGAGGCATCCCAAGTTTAGTCACTGGTTTGCAGTCCTCTTATGCAGGCTTTTCAGGCAGGTGTATCCAAACACATACCTCTGCATTCAGAGGATAAACAGAAATTCCCTGCTTTATTCTCACAATAGTGACTTCTTCACCACATAAACACTGACTTATATTTGAATTTTTTTATTTAATTTGAAAATTTTCAGTCCAGGATGTTTCTGAGGAATGATTTAATCGTAGTCCTTTATTTCTACTAGAGATTCAGATCTATGTTTTCCTTCTTAGAACAATTTTGCAGTTTTTAAGGGATGGAGGAGAAAGCTGTACTCAAAGCCTGCTATGTAGGAGAAAATAAGAATTGCTCATAATCTGCTTGGCAGTGATTCCATCAAACCTTGCTTAACCTTTATTTAGACAAAGCGCTGCTAAAGTTGATTAAGTCTTTTACCTGGAGCAGAAAGGCAGGAGAGCTGGCCACTGTGTTGTTACTGTATGTATTTAATCATTAAAAAAAAAAAAAATCTGCTATACATTTTAATTGGTTTCAAGTCAGTATTTTTGCTGTAAGCAATAAAAACGGCTATCCACATGTTCACACTAATACAGTGAAATAGATTAAAAAATTTTAATAGACTTTTGGATGTGGCTTTTATGTATATTCAGACAGCAGAAACAGTGGTGTAAACTTCAGCATATGCTAACCAAAGCATGCACTCAGATTCCTAGTCTATATTTCAACTGTTTCTGATGCCTATGGCATTATTATCACTGGGTTCAGCTAAGACTATTAAAATTTAAATTATTAAAATTAAACCAGAGAGTTAAGTGTATGGTGTTGTCTTACCTTCACTTTGCCATCATATACACAACCAGAATGCAATATGTCCTTGAAGAAAAAGCTTAAAGAAAAAAAAGGATGAACTGTAAGCAGGTACAGAATTTTTTGACAAACAGAAAGAACAGTTTTTCTGCTCTGCCTGAAAATAAGAGAGAATTCAAAGGGACTTTGAATTTAATTCCTAGTCTCTAGATTCCTATAGGTATTCTTTTGGGCCTGTCACTCCAGACTAGTAGGTGGCAGGAAAGAGAGTGGAAGAAGACGTGTAAAAGTCCTATCAGAGACAGATGATTTTTGAGAGAAAAATGCATGTTCTTCTACTTTGGTTGGAGGATATTCTTCCCAGGGCTTCAGTAATCAGTAGAACTGATGTAGTAAGCTGAGTTCAGAGGCACTGTGTAATGATTACAGAGGACTCTGGATTTGACTGACACTGTGAGAAGCAACACAGTGATGCCTGAGAAGTCACCTTATGGCAACAAACATGTTCTTTGCACTTGTAAAGACTCCGTCACATAATACTTTTAATTCTACACATAATTATCGTAAAGCATTAAAGAATTCTGTATTAGGGTCAGTTATAGTCTCTAAAAAAGTCTTAAAAAAAAAGAGAAAAAGGAAAAGGAAAAGGAAAACAAAAACAAAAAGAAAAAGAAAAAGAAAAAGAAAGAGCGACAAGAGCCACCGAGGGAGCCTCAAGTCCTCGACAGGACCTGCCCAGGCGCCGGCAGCTCAGCTGAGGCGAGCAGGGACTCACAGCGGGCGGAGCCAGGAGGGGCGGCACCAGCCCTGAGTGGGTAAAAACCTGCCCCAGGGAGCGCGAGCGAGCGGCCCGGGCGGGTCGAGGCGGTTTGCCTGGGCTCGTGAGCACTCTTTTATGAGCAGGGCCCGGCCCGGGAGCTCTGCTCTGGCTGCCCCGGCGGTGGCCAGCGTAGGCACCCAGACAGAGCCGGTGGGAGGGGAGGCTGCAGTGCAGAGCTCGGGGTGTAGAGAGTGCCTGCACTGGTCTGGTGAGGGGAGGGTGCGCAATGGGCAGGGCTGCACCCGGTGCTCCCTGGTGGAGGTCCTCCTGCAGCAGAGGCTGAGCTGCGGGACGCTGTCAGTAGTCTGCAAGATGTCAGGGAAGCTGAGAGGAAGCAGGAATGATTGCTCCTGGCCCAAACTGTGCAGGGGCCTCGACCTTCACCTCTAGCTCATGGAGGAAAGAAGGAGGCCGTTAACCCGGGAAGCTGGGAATTAGTGACAAAAAAAAGAAACAAACCAAAAACCAAAAACAACAAAAAAAGGAGGAAAAGGACAATTAAAAGCAAGGGGCTTCCTCCTAAATCTGATATCCCCACCCAAAAGTGCTTTGCTGTCCTGCAGGGGGCTAATGAGGAAATGCACCGTGAACAACTGGCTGGTGTACTGGTAAACAAGATCTCTGCTGGTGCTGCCAGGAAAAAGCGGTGGGTAATACTGGTAGGGGACTCTACTTCGAAAAGAACAGAGACAGACATCTGTTGGCCAGACCCCGTCTCAAGGGAGGTGTGTTGCCTACCAGGAGCTTGGATCAGGGATGTTGCAGAGAGGCTGCCTACTCTAGTAAATCCCACTGACTGTTACCTACTCCTGGTGATATATGTGGGTGCTAGTGATATAGATAGCAGTAGCCTGGAGAACATAAAGAAGGACTAGAGAGCACTTGAAGAGGTGGCTGGGGGCTCTGGAGCTCAGATAGTCTTTTCGTCAATTCTCCTGGATGAAGGGAAGGACCTTTAAAAGGCTAGGAGGATTGGCCATGTTAATAAATGGTTAGAACAGTGGTGTCATAGTCAGGGGTTTAGCTATTTAGAACATGGGACTCATTTTGTAGGCCAGGTCTAGTGGGGGCTGGTGGAGCTGGTCTAAGGGGAAAAGTGGTTTTGGTAGGAGGCTTGCCAGACTGGTCAAGGAGGCTTTAAGCTAGATGTGTTGGGGGAGGGGGCATCATTCCATCCCAACACACCCAGTCACTTAACAGCATCTATAATAAATGCTTGGAGCAATGTTGAGATATTCCAGCCGCTCCAGCCAATGAGCCAGCTTCATTTGGAGCTCAGCTCAGATGCCTCCATACAAATGCCTGTAGCATGGGGAACAAACAAGAGGAATTAGAGATGTGTGTATGTCTACAGGGGTATAATATAATAGGCATTGTAGAAACATGGTGGGATGGCTCCTGTGACTGGAGTGTTGGAATGGAAGGTTACAGGCTCCTCAGAAAAGACAGGCCTGGCAGGCGGGGAGGGGGAGTTGCTATTTGTATTAAGGATACGCTAGAGAGCATGGAACTCTGTCTGGGGACAGGTAAGCAGTCGACAGAGAGTTTGTGGGTCAGGGTTAACGGAAAAACAGCGATGGGAGACATTACTCTGGGCATGATACATACTCCCTGATCAAGAGGACTCTGTGGATGAAGCTCCCTATAGACAGATAGGAGCAGCCTCACACTCACAGGCCCTTGTTCTCATGGGGGACTTCAACCACCCTGACATCTGTTGGAAGGACGGTATGGCCCAGCACAAGCAATCCAGGAGGTTCCTTGATTGTGTGGAAGACAACTTCCTTTTGCAAGTAACATAGGAGCCGACAAGAAGAGGTGCCATGCTTGACCACGTGCTCACCAACAGGGAAGGGCTAGTTGGAATTGTGACACTTCAGGGCAGCCTTGGTTGTAGTGATCATGAAGCAGTTGAGTTTGAGATCCTCAGGACAGTGAGAAGAGAGTGCAGCAAGCTCCCTGGCCAGGACTTCAAAAGAGCAGATTTTGGCCTCTTCAGGAACCGGCTTAGTAAGGTTCCATGGGGTATAGCCCTAGAGGGCAGGGGGGCCCAGGACTGTTGGTTGATATTCAAGGATCACCTGCTACAAGCTCAGGAGTGTTGCATCCCAACTAGAAGGAAGTGCAGCAGGAGGGCCAGGAGACCTCCTTGGATGGATAAGGAGCTGCTGAGGAAACTTCAAATGAAAAAAGAGGCTTATAAAATGTGGAAGCAAGGACAGGCAGCCTGGGAAGAATACAGGGGTGCTGTTTGGGGAGCTAGGGACCAGGTTAGGAAAGCTAAGGCCCACTTAGAATTTAACTTGGCTGGGGATGTTAAGGATAACAGGAAGGGATTCTACAGGTACATAGCAAATAAAAAAACAGACCATGGACAAAGTAGGCCCCCTCTCCCGAAGCTCTCGTGAGAGCTAGCTACACAGGATTTGGAGAAGGCTGAGGTTCTGAATGACTTCTTTGCCTCGGTCTTCACTGGCAAATGCTCTGATCACACCACCCAAGTCCTGGAAGGCAGATGCAGGGACTGTGAGAATCAAGACCCTATGCCCACTGTAGGAGAGGATCTGGTTCGAGACTATCTTAAAAACCTGAACGTACACAAGTCCATAGGACCTGATGAGATCCATCTGCGGGTCCTGAAGGAGCTGGCCAATGAAGTTGCTACTGTCCATCATATTTGAAAAATCATGGCAGTCAGGTGAAGATCCCAAGGACTGGAAAAAGGGAAATATAACCCCCATTTTCAAGAAGGGGAAAATGGATGACCCAGGGAATTACAAGCCAGTCAGTCTCACCTCTGTGCCTGCCAAAATCTTGGAGCAGATTCTCCTAGAAGGAATGCTGAGGCACATGAAAAACAACAAGATGCTTGGTGACAGCCAGCATGGCTTCACTAAGGGGAAATCCTGCCTGACCAATCTGGTGGCCTTCTATGATGGGGCTATGGAACTTATGGACAGGGGTAGAGCAGTTGATGTCATCTACCTGGACTTGTGCAAAGCGTTTGACACTGTCCCACACAGCATCCCTGTCTCTAAATTGGAGAGACATCAATTTGATGGATGGACCACTCGGTGGATAAAGAACTGGCTGGATGGCCGCACGAGAAGAGTTGAGGTCAGTGGCTCAATGTCCAGCTGAAGACCAGTAACGAGTGGTGTCCCTCAGGGATCGGTGTTGGGACCGTGGGATTGAGTGAGCCCTCAGCAAGTTTGCCGAAGACACCAAGCTGTGTGGTTTGGTTGATAGGCTGGAGGGAAGGAATGCCATCCAGAGGGACCTCAACATGCTTGTGAGGTGGGCTGATGCCAACCTGATGAAGTTTAACCATGCCAAGTGCAAGGTCCTACACCTGGGTGGGAGCAATCCCAGGCACAGCTACAGGTTGGGCAGAGAAGAAATTCAGAGCAGCCCTCTGGAGAAGGACTTGGGGGTGTTGGTCAATGAGAAAATGAACATGAGCCAGCAGTTTGCACTTGCCCAGAAAGCTGGGCTGCATCAAAAGGAGCATGAGCATCAGGTCAAAGGAAGTGATCCCTCCCCTCTACTCCTCTCTTGTGATAGCTCACCTGGAGTATTGTGTGCAGTTCTTGTGTCCTCAACATAAAAAGGACATGGAACTGTTGGAACAAGTCCAGAGAAGAGCCAGAAGGATGATCAGGGTACTGGAGCATCTCCTGTATGAAGATAGCCTGAGAAAGTTGGGGTTGTTCAGCCTGGAGAAGAGAAGGCTGCATGGAGACCTCATAACAGCCTTCCAGTATCTGAAGGGGGCCTATAGGGATGCTGGGGAGGGACTCTTCATTAGGGACTGTAGTGACAGGACAAGGGGTATTAGGTTAAAACTTAAGCAGGGGAAGTTTAGATTGGATATAAAGAAGAAATTCTTTCCTGTTAGGGTGGTGAGGCACTGGAATGGGTTACCCAGGGAAGCTGTGAATGCATCCATGAGCCTTGGTTGACATGTTTTTTTGGGAGGTTCTATTCTATGATTCTAAAAAAAAAAACCAAAAACTAAAAAGTGATGATCTTGAGATTCTGAACTACAAATTGTAGCAGCTGGGTGCAGAGAGCTAAAATTTTGTGGTCAAGTTCTGCAACGCCTTATCTTCTGTGAATAAATAAAGGTACAAACCCACACAAAATACTCACCAGAAGGTTTTGGATCAGGTCTGTGT